TTTTCCTACCTGGGGTACCACAAACCCTCAAAGGAAAATTGGTGTGGATGGGCAGCACTTTTTTAAATGACGAAAAATTAGGGAATTATCCAATTGAAATGAAAATTTCAATACATATTCATTAATTATTTACTTTTATAATGAATAGTTTTTTTAAAAAAATCTGATAAAACTTCATTCTTTTTGTAATAACCACCAATCTTTTCATGACAAAATTTTACTTGAAAAAATATTTGCAAATTTTTACATTTCCATAAAGATTAATTACTGATGCATCTCCGCTGAAAAAAGTTTTTATAAAGATTCCAACACAACACAAATAGGATTGCTTAAAAATTTGTTTTAAAAACAATATTTCCCCTTTTGAGAAAATTTTTTGTATATTGAAATCTTTAAACATTATATTTTTTTAAGCGATCATTTTCTTGGTTTTATCTTTCTAGAAATGTAAAAATAGGGACTAGAAATTTTATTTTAATTACTAGCTGTGGACTTCTGGTTAGTATTAGTGTTAGTAAAAGAAAAAAAATCAGAGATCCCCCTTAGTGGATGATCTTGGAATAAAAATGATTTTACTGAGATTTATTACCCACTTAATTTATTTAAAAGAACAGTCCAAAAAGAAAATTACAATTTAAAAAAAATAAGTGCTACTCAAATTAGCACTTCTGCTCCACTCCCCAGGAGGCATAGGGCCCCCAGGTGGTTGAGAGGTTCAGGGTAGTAAGCACCGGCCCTGTTGATTATTATAGTTGATGATTGGCAATATAACTTAGATAGAAAAAAAGTACAAAAAGCAAAAAACACTGCTGAAATTAGCTCTTCCAGGGCTCCAACCTCATCAGGGGTTTCTGCATAGTACGTACTGCACCAACAGCTTGATCAGGACTTGAAGATCAGAAGAACATTCTCCAGTGTCCTGGGGACTCATAGTCAACATCCTGTGGGATGTGACTAGCATCTTTGAAAGATGATATATACTCAACTATTAACCATTTGGCAGTATTGCATTTTTTTATTTTGTACAGCATCAATTTGTATTATTCCCCTTTTTGATAACAATGTTTTATAAAATTGTTCTATCATTATTCTGATGGAGACATTGTGTATGAAGCCAAAACCCCCATTAATGGAAAGCTTGCATTAGCATTAAAAAAGAAACATTACTGTTATTAAATTCTAAATGTCAATCAACTTCCTTGATTTATTTAGCAATCTGAGAACTCTGGTAAAAGGCAGAGAAAAGGATCATGGGTAAAATTCTGTAAAAAGACAAAAATTTTAACATTGGAAATATTGAAAGAATAACATATAATGAAAAATATTTTTGAGTTTCATACTTGACCCACTTTCTGTTTGTGATTTTAAAATTAGGGAAACAAATTTTTATTTTTTCCCAGCATTCCTTGGACTTCAGTGATTCTCTTCTCAAGGCTGAAATTCATTTCAAATTGGATAAATTTTCTAATTTAAGTTTATTCAAAAAAACATTCATGTTAAATAGAGTTATTTCTTTCTTTACCAAAATTAGAGTTGAGAAATTTGTAAGAGAAATCAAGTGGTTGATATTTTTAGTTATATTGTAGAGATATTATTATTGTTACAAATAAATAAAATAATAATAATAATAATGAAAATTATAAATAAAATAAAACAATAATATTTAAACCTTGCTTAAAATAAATTATATAAAAAATAATAGAATTACCCCCAGCATGCAACAAAAACTGTTCCTGTCGGAAATACGGACATCACGCCAAAAGATGTGAGATTCAATCTCTTCACCTAAGAACTATCAAGATAACAGCACATGCATAACTTCCCTCCATGATAGGACTTGTGATATTATGGAGTAACTTGCTCCCTTTTATATATGAACATTATCACAATTGTAATGTAAAACACACACACCAATACACATAAATACATAAATAAAATTGTAGGAAATTCCTAGACAATTTGTCATGCCTTCTCTGTATGGTGTACATTTATTTTTCCTGTTTTTATCTTCGTAAAAACAAGCCTGAAATTTTACTAGCCCTACTCCTATGGTGTGAGTGAATATCCCCACAAGATCCAATGATAAGCATTGAAATCTGAATAAAATTCTTCAGCTATCTTTTGATTTTAACAAAATGTTGTTCTAATTGGTTTCTGCTGAACATATTATTGAAGTCTTTGAGAGAATGGATTTTAATAATTGATATGAAAATGACATGAAACTTATTCTTTCCTTTCATATTTTTCAATATTTATCCTTCATGTCCCCACATAAAAGACAGCTATTCCCCTTGATACCTGCTATGAGTTTTTTAAAAAAAAGCTATGATTAGAATTTTAATAAATAATTTAGCATGCATTCTGACTATAAACAGGATGAAAATATTTTAAAACTCTCATAAACACTAATATATCCCTCACTGATCCCAGTAAAAAAAATAAAATTAATTATATACCATACTAAATTTAATACAACCAACTTAGTTATTCATAACAACTCTACTCTGTCAACTGGCATTTTAAAAAAGACCAACATCTTATATCAATTTAAATGTCCTTTAGGAGATTGCATCTCTGACAAAAGTGTTAATAATGTGCGTGTTGGTTTTACTACGACGACCATGAGGAGAAGTCTTACGTTTCACTTAAATGATCATAGTTCAATCTCAGAACATTTAAAGGAACATTGATGCCCACATTCACAGTTTAGACAGATATAAGTCAAAAATACAACAATACTGCACCAAGATAAGCAAAAACTAAAAATTCTAGAAGCTCTTTATATAAGAGAATTGTAGCCAAAAATAAATAGTCAATTATTAGTATAGCAACAGAGTTCTTAAATGTTTATAGCAGCAAAGTTTATAAAATTCTAAATTAGAATTATTATTAACTGCAATTTAAAGAAATCTTTTAAACCCATAAAATATGCTCCCCCCCACAAAAAGTCACATAAGTTAACCTCCTTTGCATAACAGGTAAATATTTTGAATCTTGCAGGGATCATGCACAAAAATATACTCCAAAAAATCACATATGTTTCCTCCCTTGCATAATGGGTCAATATTTTGAATTTTGAGGTGTTCACACATACATATCCACAGACACTTAACCCTTGGAGATGGTCTTGGAAGAGATTGAAAATACTTGGGAAAATAAAAATTATTTGACAGAAAATTTTGGGATTTTTATCGATCAATTTTCCACAGATACCAAGAAATTAATCCATGGACTTGAAAGGACTAAAATTAAAATAAATAGGCATAATACATTTAACCAAACATACATACATATATACATATATACATATATATATATATATATATATATATATATATATAGCCATCCATCCAAGTAATTTTGACTGTTGCTATAGTTGAGCATACTTGGCTGGATATAATAAATATGGGTATAGTAAATGCCTATATATATATATATATATATATATATATATATATATATATATATATATATATAGAATATTTTAAAAACATAGAAAGAAACACTAGAGGCAACAGTCTGTTTCATGCTAGACTAATCGTCTGGCCATGATTGCGTCTAGCATGAAACAGACTTAGTATTGACTTCTATGTTCCCTTTATATTTACATACATTCTATCTCTGATATTGAGCAAAAAATTATCCCATAAATATAACATGTTAAGACTATATTTCTTTATATATATATATATATATATATATATATATATATATGAGGTCTAATAAAAAAGCATTGCAACTGTTGCTATGATAACACAGCTAAAGAAATCAGAGTGAAGCCACTTGACACAGATTGATATTGAACTCTGTCATGCATGTGCACTTCTGTTGTTTATAAGAGTGTTTGAAGGAAAGTGTGTCGAGTGTGATCTTTTCACCACACTGCAGAAAATGTTTTGAAAATGGTGATGAACCCTGGATCTCTTGCTTTGACTCTGAAACCATTGTTCAGTGGAAGAACCTAACCTCTTTAAGACTGAAGGAAGCACAAATGAGTCGAAGCAATGTGAAAACTGTTGACAGTTTTCTTAGACTATAAGGACATTGTTCATCTTGAGTATGCTTCACCTGGTCAAACAGTAAACAAGGAGTACCACCATTATTTGTTAAGCATTTTTGGGATGTTGTTCATTGGAAAAAGTAGAGAATTGCATGTGTCTGGTAAGTGGCAACTTCACCATGACATTGCATCTGCCCATTCATTGAAGATTGTGTAGCAGCTTTTGGTTAAGCACAACATTCTCCAGGTCCAACAACCACCACCATATCTTCCTTGCAGCTTTTTCCTCTTTCCAAAATCAAATCCCACTTGAAAGAAACAAGATTTCAAGATGTTAAAGCAATTCAAGAGAATGTGATGAGGCAGCTGCTTGCTATCCCATAAAAGGGAGTTCCAGGAATGCTTCCATCAATAGAAATGAAACTGGATAAAATGTGTGGATTCATAAGGGGACTAATTTAAAGGAGTTTAAATGCCGAATTGATATGTGTGTGTGTGTGTGTGTGTGTTTGCGTGTGTGTGTAAAGTGGGGGATCTGTTCTATATTACAATTAATATATCAACTGATTCCCCATTTTGTGACCATTGTAGTTTCTATACATTTATATTCCAGAGAATGTAAATCAATTTAAAAGACATACCTGCATAGTATTTGAGTTATTGATTAAAAGACATACCTGCATAGTATTTGAGTTATTGATTAATATTACAATTTTTGATTTATTGATTAATTTGTTTTCTATGGCTTATCAAATATTTGCATGTTATTTAAAACCAGAAAATATTTTTAGATTCTAGGAATATTTTTTGAGATAATAAGGATTTAGGGATACACTTCTTACTAATTAACCCATAGCTGGGAGGAGACAAGGTGGATTCCTTCCTTTCCAAAGGCTATTTGCATGTAAGTGAATATAACAAACCCAACTGGAATTGGAACTCAACTCTTCAATCAATAATTCTGTGGATTAACGGATTAACAAATCCATTACAGCACTTGCTTACGGCACAGGGTATTCCCTAGAGGTCACTCATCTAGCAACTAACTGGGCCTGACATTGCTTAACTTCAGTGATCTTATGGGAACTGGTATTTCAGTGTAATATGGGTGTAAGCCCTCTGCAACTGGAACTATTAGAACTTGTTTTGTGTTACTTGTAGAAAGTGCAAGTATATCATACCTTCCCCCCACCCCCCAATTTGTCATAGTGATGTCATGAAGAATATATCAGGATACTTTTAGATCATGGAACCAATTATCTTCACCATATAATCTATTATGAATGTATAGCAATGTCAGAGATTCTATGCTGCAACTGGTGCCATGGATTGTATAATGGTTCTTCCCCGACCCTTACTTCTTCTGTTCAGTGATCAAGCAACTTGTATGAATTGTTTGTTTAGTAATTTTAAATACTTGTAGCTAATAAATAGGTTATTTTTATATATCACTAGCCCGCATTGCTCATCTTCTATGAATAATAATTTTTTTGATTCAATATTTTCAAATCTTATGGAAATTAATTTTTTATTCAATCTTTATAAAATAAACTTCATTGTTCTTTCGCTTGTTACAAAATAACTAAATACAGAAGAATACCACACTACCAATACCATGCTCGGTGAGGGTCTAGCGGGGCTGAGCACCCCCTATTTTTATTCAAAAACACACTTTATTTTTCAATTTAAATACGAATACTAACTCTGTCAATGTTGTTTTCAGACAAATCAAACTTATAAAAAGTTCATTAATCTTTTTTTAAATTATTATTAATAAAAAAGTAAATAAACTTAAATTAAGATATTTAAACATTTAATTTAATCATTTTTTCAAGCAATAAATTATAGTGAGCTTTACTTTGAAAAATAATTATTTACTATTTATTTTGGAGGAGAATTTAGATTATTTTTAAGTAAATAAAGTTTTATTTTAAACATTACATTAGCAAACATTTCTCTGTTAATAAATTTAATAACTAACTATTTTGAAAGAGAGTAGAATCAAGATACATTGAGAATTCAGTTTTGAAAAGTGATTATGTCAAAATTTCAAATTATATTTGTATTTGAAAAGAAAAAACTTTCATTAAATAAAAAGAGACAAATTAATCGAGTTGAATATTTGTTTTACAAATTTAACTATGTCTTATTTAAATTAATTTTCAAAGAAGTATAGTTTTTTGCTTTAATAAAACTTAATTTAAAATTATTTTTATGTTAGTTACAAACCAAAAAAACAATGAAGTTTATTTTCTAAAGATTGAATAAAAAAATTATTTTCCATAAGATGGCCAAAAAATATTAATAAGAACACACACACACACACACACACACACACACACACACACACACACACACACACACACACACACACACACTCTTGAATATTTGAATAAATAAATATTAAACTCTTTATCAAATAATTGTATTTAATATTCTCTTTTTTAAATTTAATTTGTTGTTTTAATATTTTTTTTATTTTTTTTTTACTAAAGTTATTTTAATCTTTTTTTTTACTATAGATGTAAAAAAAAAGTAAATTCAAGAGAATAGAAATTTTAAAAAATACATAATTAAATTTTTAGTTTTTTTCAGTTTTTAAACGAACTCTGATTTGAGAATAAGAATTTTAATTTTACTTTTTAATTCTGAGAATTTCGAATGCATCCTAATGCATTTTAATTTTAAAATATCTTTATAAATATAAATCATATGATGATATTTTTTTTACAAAAAGCTGGTTTGGGGGATAATGAGTCTGTATATATATTTACTTTGTCATTAACTGTTGACACACACACATACAGATAACTGCTCTTTGCATATGTATTAAATTAAATATAGTAGCTACAATTTGTAGACTAGATTGTTTATCTCATGAAATTCTGGAAAAAGATGCCTGTTGATTCTTTTTTTAATCATAACTTTTTTATCTTAATGTTCACCCAATACAAGGTCTAAGAGCCACTCAAGATAGAGGGCTGCTGTGTGGTGTTATATGAGCGTAAGAAAAGGTAAGAAATGAAGTTCATGGGGTTATACAGGAAAAATAACGGTTAACCCTAGACTTGAAGAGGTCAAGATTGTAGTGATTAGGAAAACATCCTGCCGACAGTGTGTTCCACAAAGCAACAATTCTTGGGAAGAAGCTGTCCGAATAGGATTTACTTCTTGCTATAGGAATATGGAAGGAATAAGTCTGATTCATTCTTGTGTATGTGGTATGGCGGGTCCCATTTGTAAAGGTCAGGGGTGGTGGGTCTAAGGAATGTAGCTTGTCAGGAAACATGCCTTGGAAGTAGTAATAGAGCTGTGAAAAGCTCGCAACATTTTATCTGGGGGAAAGGGGTTTTCGTGTGGAAAATAATTCATCACCCACAAATCTGCAGAAATGTTTTTGAACTCTATAAAGACAAGCAAGTGAATGAAAAATTATAGAATTATTTTTTTTTCACTTAATGACTAATGGCAGGTCAAACAGACAATTATGGTATGTGCCCTCTCCTCTCTTTACTTAAATAATAAAAATGTCAAACGTCGAGTCTTAGTTTGACACAAGGCCACAAATATGGCATACCCAGTGATGATCAAACTCAGTACTACTAATTCATAGGACTAGCTTGCTGACCATTATACCAAACACTCTGCTAGTACTAAGCCTAGTTTAGTTTGTTACAATGGCACCGGTATGCGTTACCCAGTGAGGTTCACACTCACTGGCAATAAATAGTCAAACAGACTAGCTAACTAACAGCAGTTGTAGAAATAGTAATAGTAGCACTAGAGAAGTTTAAGGACAGTAAGTATTGTTATAAGTGGATAATAAATAAATTGGTCTTTATTGGTGGATTTTATTGTGATGTTTCCTTCCAGGGCAAATCTGTCTCTTTGGGTTTTACAGGTCACCAGGCTTCGTGCTGGTCTCTTTCTTTCTTTCTTTCTTTTCACTCACCTTTTATCTTTCTATTCTTTCCTTTCTTTCATCTTTTATCTCTCTCTCTCTCTTTCTTTATTCTTTCTTTTCACTCATCTTTTATCTCTCTCTCTCTCTTTCTTTATTCTTTCTTTTCACTCATCATTTATCTCTCTCTCTCTCTTTCTTTATTCTTTCTTTTCACTCATCATTTATCTCTCTCTCTCTCTTTCTTTATTCTTTCTTTTCACTCATCTTTTATCTCTCTCTCTCTCTTTCTTTATTCTTTCTTTTCACTCATCTTTTATCTCTCTCTCCCTCTTTCTTTATTCTTTCTTTTCACTCATCTTTTATCTCTCTCTCTCTTGCTATTCTTTCTTCTCATCTGTCTTTCTTTCTTTGCTTAAAATGAATTTGGTGAAGAATTCTCCTCACCTCACAAATAACCAACTTATAATTGGCAAAGTGGTGTGTATGAATGATGTGCATAAAGATTTATTAATTCCTATTTAGAGGTGATTATTATTCAATTTTACATCAAATAAATGAGAGACTGATTAATAACAATGAATGTTTGCATTCGTCATGGCTCCTTTAATGATGATTATTATTAGAATTTTATATGGCACTGGTCCTTTTGGTTATACTCTTTCAAAGGAGATGCTAAGAAGTTCTTGTCTTGACCCACATTCCCAAATTCTGACCATAATATCTTAAATCTCTTTTGGAAAGGAGCTTTGGTTTGTAAGTTTCATTGTTGTTGATTTAATTATTAATTAAATCTAAAAGGAATTTACATTTCCTTTTTTTTAATTACAATAGCCATTAAAATTATAAAATTATAAAATAACTGTCTCGAACATTCTTAAAATAAAATGATCCATAGAAGTTTGTTGTTATTAGGTTGGGGGTCGCCATTTGAATTTGAGGAGGTGTTGTGTGTTGAACAGAAACAAAAAGAAGAATTGAATTGGAAAATAAACAAACAAAAGAGTGAAATAAAAACAAGATAGAAATATTTATTCAGCAATTTTGGACATTTGTGCTCCCCCTCCCCATGTAATTTAACTTAACCAAATATCCCCATACACTGTGCCTCTTAATCTGCAACCCTCTACCTCGAGTGGGTCTGGGGCCTTGTACAGAGTGAACATCATTGTAAAAAAAAACTTCTTAATACAGTACTGAGCTTCTTTTTTTTTTTTTTTTTAAAAACTTAGAAAGACTATTTGCATTATTGTCCTCCAGAAATATACTGGTTGACCTTTATTATCTTTTTCTTTTTTGCAACAACAGTGCGGGCGTGTGTGTTTTCAGGCAGAAACAACATACGGGGTGGGGTATTTATCCGTGCACCCCTCGTCGCAACAGAATATGGTCGACGTCGAAATGTGGGTTATTTGTGGCAATAATACCATAGAAAAATTGCTAAAGCCCCCTCGGCATTTCCTCAGGTGTCCTGTAATGACCCCAGCCCCCTCCCAAAGGAGAGGTAGCACCTGGTGGGGATATAGCCCAATATATTATTTTTTTTCAACTTCCCGGGGCAGTACAGTACTGGGGACAGTATGAGCATGGCTACGAATCAGATAGACAGAGATAGAGAAATGAACACACCGAGATAGAGATGAAATGAACAGATTAAAAAAAAAAAAGGGTAGATAAAAAAAAAAAAAAGAACAACACGAGAGAGATGAATTTTAGTTGTCCTCGATGTAAAAATTTATACTGAAGTCATATAAAAAGAAGTTTTCTAAAAATCATCTGCCTTTTTTTTTTTCAATAACAGAATGAAAAGAGATTTTTTTTACTCAATCTGTGAAAGTGAATGATTTGTTCAGGCAAACAGCGCTCCAATGTGGCAATGAATTTTACTCATCCTGTTCAGCTACAGTCACAGTGTGTGGGTTGATTCTGTGTGACTGTGACACCAGGTGTAACCTACCTAGCCTAAAATAAGAAATGTTTTCATAGACCCATTAAATGACAGCGAAAACGAAGAATCTTTGTCTTTGATAATTGGACGAGTTTTATTTTTGGCAAAAATAAACAAAATAAGACGAATTTTTTTTTATTTATCTAAAAAACTGAAAAAATAAAGTCATTTTAAAAGGGAAGTTCTTTCGTTAAAAAAGGAAATATTTATGTAAAAATATGCAATATATTTTCTTTCATCTCTACCTAAATACCTGTA